CTCAAAGTCAACATGATACTAATAAAGATATGATGGGAATAGTAGAAAATTCACCTACATCCTCGGAAGACATCCATCACCAAGTTTTGACTGAGTTCTCTTTGAATGCTCTTTCAACGCAGTCAAAATCATCAGATTAATCTGCAACAAGATTTCATTGTTATTGCCAACTTTTTGTCTGTTCTCTTTGTATTTATTGTAAATTGTGCCATAAAGCGCTGACTGTATGCAAGTAATCTACCTGGACATGCACTCAACCATTAAACTTACAAACATTCTGCTTTGGTCTGTAGATCTACACGTTGTTGTTGTCACCACAGTGTGAAGTTTGAGGAGGGCCATTTGGGACTGTCTTGGTGTCAATTCATTCTCACCTCTAATCATCTTGACTACAACACTAGTTTCAACTGCTGCGCAAGAGTGTGTAATTGTCAGATAAGCCTAAATCAGTTTTCAAAGCCAGATAAACGAGTGCACAAAATATCCATTATTTTTCTCTTAATTCCTTTCACATTAACTATGAGCAGACACTCCATGATTACCAGCCACATGGTTTACTGAAAGTAATGGCAGCAGGAACACTCTCATGCATTTCTCTGTTTGAGTGTCTGTGAGTGTGTGGTGTGTGCAAACACTAAATGAGCTGATCTTGGAATAAACCATAGAATCGTTTAGCAGATTGGTGCTTGTTTTATTGTCTTTGCTAAATACTATATATTAGGAAAAGAGTAAGTAATGTACAAGAGTGCATCAGTGCTCTAATTAACTGATGCTAATTAGCTTTATTTGCTTTGAGAAATGTCAATTGGACAAGTCAAGCATACAAAAGCACTTAGTTTAGCAAAGGACTTCTCATTTAAGACATACTATAACATAATGTATGGTGATTTATAAGGTATGCACAGTTCATGAATTTTTATGGGCGAGTCCGGTCCCGGTTACTTTACAGCTAAATAGGCTAATGGTTATATATTTTTTATGAGCCTTTTTTTTAGCCTGAAGCTCATACTGAGTGGGTTAAATGAACACATGAAACATACATTTGCAGCACTTTCTTTTAGCCAAATTGCAATACAAATGACATTTTTTGATCTTCAATGGCATTTTAAGTGATGTTTTAAATTCAGAAATGAACAGTTGCCTATTTAAATAACATTAATCAAATTAAGTGCTACACGGAAAGTAAGAGGTAACCGGCTATTTAGTCATGAAGAATTCTGCTACTGGTGCAGCAACAGCATTCAAATACAGCACGAGTGCACTTATCTGGCTCTCATTATTAACATCATAACATTGCATCACAGATAAGACAAAATTAAAATAAATTGGCCAATTGCTAGTTGCGTGTTTGGAACAAAAATCTGCTGATTCCAATCTGGGCTGATTCAATCCCTACCTTTTATTTTGGGGACAGGAACTGAGGATAGAAAGGCAAATTAAAAGGCCTTTAAAACCATGTTACGTTATGATTCAGAAACATTTCTAAACTTTAAGCATAACTTGAGTAAACAGATTAAGTAAGTTTGGAGCCTCTGTAATCTAAACTAGATCATATTCTAGACTTGTCAACTGCATCACTGCTGCAGTTTTAGATTTCTGGTGTAGTACTGGCTCACACCATAAAAACTGTATTTATAATATACATATACGCTGCATAGCTATAGCTGGAGCTAAACCATTATTTCCTGAAATCTCTTACATATTTTCTAAGTAATCTCCTTGAGCTTATGGGTTCTAGGCGCTGGATGTGTTTTCCCACTAATGATGCCTCAAGTGACAGAGTCCTCCAGCCATTCCCAGCCATTCACTCAAAGTGGAGACTGTGTGAATCCATTCATTGTTATCACATGGCCCCATGCCTCCATCCATTTCCTCTAATACAACATGTGTACTGTGTGTGTGTAAACAACAACTAGAGGTCATATTCACTGTGTTTATGGGAATTTTACTGACTACTACTTTACTGGCTATTCTCTTTTCTCTCCAGTTTCATTATGGCTTGTTTCTCAAATGTTAATGTGCAGGTAAAAGTACACAAGTACAAATCATGTCAGTTTCAGAAAATGCAGATGTGCCTTACAATGATTGGGGCTCTTCTGGGGAAAAGCCCCACACTGACTCCCCTGTGAGTTATTGGCACCCTATTGAGAGAAAGGGAAAAGTGTTCATTTGAGATTAAGGCTGTTATGTTGGTGAACCCACTGCCAAACCCTGAACTGAAGCCGCTACTGGCAAAGCTGATTGGGAGAACCACAGGCAAAGCCTGCTGTGGATTCACTTGGAGCTCTTTCTCTTCCCTGCGGGTTCACCACAAAAACTGGGCTCACAGCAAAAATAAAGCTGCCAAGGAGAATTACTCAGATAAATCTATCAGTAAATAGTCCAGACCAATCAAAAACCTTATTGTTGCTCTATATTAACTGTGAAAAGGATGAGCAGAGAGCAAAGCTCAGAGTTGCTCATACTCAAACAACCCTTAAACTGTAACTGTCTCTGTAACTGCTTAGTGTTTATACATCACTTAGCATTTCTGGGCAGTCTGCGCGTTTTGAGAAAATAACATTTTTGTGGATGTAAGTACTCTGTCTTGCATAACACTGCTTTATGTGTGTGCATGTTAGCTGCTCATTGAAAAATAAGCCCTAGATGTAGCCAAATGGACCAAGAGAGTGAGTTTCCTTGTGTCCTTCTCATTTCTTGTGACCTACAGACAAAATTAACACAGCGTTATCCCAGGTGTCTACTCAATCACAACTCAATGAGCTAATGATAGGCTGCGGCACATGATAATATGCAAATTTCCTTCTTGAGTGGCTGGTTTTATACAGCTAGGCCAGGAGGAAGTACAGCCTTTTGTCTAGAGGTTTTTTGATTTACTGCTTTCCCAGAAGTGTCCCGATTTGGCTGAATTTAGGTGGAATTTTGGGTGGTCACCCTTAAAGGTCACAGCTGAAGAAAAATGACTAACAGTAAGCAGACTTCAGAATGTAGAAGTGCCCAGTTTTGTGTTTTGTTGCTGTAACACACCTGACTCAGAAGAACTTGATCACTAGCTAATGATGTGGCTCAGGTGCAGGAAAACACCAAACTGTGCAGTGCAGGTGGAGCACAGGATTAGAGGCAGGAAATGCTACCTTTAGTGCAGGGCTGTCTAAAGTGTGTGCTGTAGGCCAAAGCTGACCCACCAGAAAGTTGACCTAACCCTACCCCTTATTACATTCTTGTTTAAAAAATGTATTTTTTAAGCATTTTATTAACAATATGTAGTGTAACGTTCTAAAATACATTTTCAAACCTACCTACCTTTTGTGTTTGTGTATTATTTTACCTTTTTGGCCCCCACCAGAAAATTTTACAGACCCCTGATTTAAAGTGTCTCCAAATTCTTGTCTAAATTACACTGGAAAAAGTCACTGTCCATTGAAAAGACTTAAAGAAGCTGATAGGACTGTATGTGGTCACCATATTAAGTTGGTGTTATTAGAGTTGAGCTTACTCATAAATGACTTGATTTGTGACGAAAAGTTTCTGGTCTGTTTAAGAGCAGAGTCAAGCCTGTTGCTAGGGTTCTCCAGAGAAATAAACTGATTATATATTTTATTAGCTTCCACCTCAAAGTCATCAGTTTGAGTACATATGCTTCTAATGCATATGAACTGGCTAAAGGGAAGACATAGTATGAAAGCCCTTAGCATTGAGTAAACTGTTTTTATTTGGGTATTTAATATTGTGGCGCTGCCACTGGACTTAGGACTTTAGGCCAATTGTGAGAGTGGAGAGGAACGAGCAGAGGCTGCCCAGAATGCTGGGTGCCTCTCTGCAGCTATTATTTAGTTAATGTGTTAGATGTTGTTTGCTAGTTTAAGTTGTGTGATGACTTGGCTATGTTTAATCTGTAGTTAACTGTGATGAAGTGTTCAACATCTGTGTGTTGTGTTTGGCTTTTGGTGACCCCTCATTTCGGCCCATGGTTTAGTTCCTCTCTCTGCCTGCTGTTTCCATAAAAAGCATTTCCCTGAAGAGAAAATGGCAGACTCCGGGTCTTCTTCTGTGCTGACGGTACAATATAGAGAGGAGTCAATTCTAGTGATCTGTGTGTCCAAAAATGAATACTAGTATCATGATGGTCCATATTAAAATATATAGTATTACAAAACAATTTGACATACACCCGAAAAGCTGATAAATCAGACAAGGGTCCTTTAAAAATCATGAAAATGTTTTCAGTATATTGTTTATTGAAAAAACAATCCATAATGATTGTTATTGAAATATGTCTTGATAAACCCAGATGTCTTGTTTTGATCATGGAAAATGGCAAATGGGAGGCCCTCAGAGGAAACAGAGGGATGTATTGCTGATACAGTCTTAAATTTTGTTTGAACTGTTTTGTCATTTTTCCAATTTTAATACCAAATTAAAATCATTAAACCAGTACTAAAAGATTTTCACTTATAGAAGAGGCTCAACTGCAATGCACCCCCAAAATCAGAATCACTTTTTTGGCCAGGTACTCTGTGTGGAGTTGGCCTTGATGGAATTTTGTATGCACTAATCATGGACAAAAGAGAATTTAAGTAGTAAACAACAACAACAAATAAATGTTTTTACAAAAATACAAAACTATACATACTTTCAGTATATACACTAAATGTACAAGACGGTTACAATGATGGTGATCAGTCCCGAGTACGAGAGATCAGCTCTGATTTCTTCTGTCAGATTTCAGGCTACACGTCGTAATCGCTTATCTGTACACTCAGATTCAGTTAATGTTCTGTATTTGACCCAACCGCTCACTTCCCTTCCTCCTTAATTCAAACACAACTAGTTTTAGGCAGTCGATGTGTTCGTAAAGCTTGTTTATCTGACCGTCTGCTTCTCCACCGAGAAAACAGTCGAGTGGAAACTTTTAAAGAGAAGCATATGAAATACTTTCTCGGGCTCCGATTGGACGAGCGTGGCGTCAGTTGAGCGGCGGTGGGCGTGTCCTGGCCGCGGTCGCTCTCAGCACTGTTGTAGTTCTAGCGCAGTGTCGCTGTGTTTTGTAGGCGTGTGGACTTCACCGTACTGAGGGCTCCACCACTGCGCTCTCCCTCTCAGTCTGTACACCACCTGGAGAACAAAATCACAAAGCTCCTGGGAAAACATTCACTAAATCTTATCTTACTGCCTCTCTGTTGCGTCCTGGTTTTGCGGGCGGGCTCCGTGGCCCAAAGGAATCAGCTTTCAGCTCGCGCACAAAGGAAGAAAAATTAGAAGCAGACAAAGGTAAGTGGCCTGTTTTTTCTACAACGCTGGAAGTTTCCCCCCCTTCACAGTTCGTACTTGTACTTGAGCGCGACTCGAGCTCGAAAGGAAAATGTTTTTGCTGAATTTGGACTGAACAGATTTCATTCAGGTCGGGCAGCTCGCTCTTCTTTATGGACGTGTTGCTGTGACTCTGTTAGTGCTGCAGCTGCTGCTGCTGTCGAGACACAAAGCGAAAAGCCCGTATTACATTGCATTCGCCAGTGCAAGCGCATTTAAAGTCCTACACGTAAGTAGACATGCTGCTCTGCTTTTTCTCTCTCTTTCTCTTTTCTTTCTTTAACGCGTGGGGTGTAGTTTTCTCTTCTTCAGATCCACTCGTCTGCAGTGCACTTCGACTAATAAACAGTGGGCTCCGCGCTCTCTGCATCTGCAGCTCCAGCTGATAAGGCTGCGATTAGTGCTGCAGTGGTGTTAGCACGGCATGGACCGATCCCAGCGGTATTATTTTCGATGGGAAACAGATGGGGAGAGTGAGCGAGAGTGTCTTTTCTGGCATGGGAAGTTGGCTTGCTGTGCGTTGCAGTAGGAAAGGCATGGTGGATTGACAGCCGTCAGTGGTGGGCAGCTCCAGGCTCGGCCGGTGGACTGGACAGCGCTGTTGTTTGCTCTCTGGACTCTCTGGAGCTAATCAGCCTCTCAGGACCTCTTATTCCTGCAGACGTTGCTTTGGCCTGAACAAATAGCATCTTCGTGCTTGTTTGGCTGTTGTATTGGCTGTTTTTCAGTGTTTCAGCATCCTGCTCTCTAACTTTGAGCAGCCTGTAGAGGGTGTTGCACATCCTGTCCACATCTGTCCGCTAGACTTCCATGAAAACACATAGTTTAGTGCGAAATGGTCACTCAGCAGGTCAGCAGTCTGTTCACAAAAACTGTATTGTTGCTCATGTCCTTGTTGCTTGTTGTTCTTGGTGTTGTATAATGCTTATCAGGTATTTTGAAAGGCTCTTCTCAGACCCTAGAATGGGGCACATAAGGGGAACATTACCCCAGATTTTTGTTCCCCACTAAGCAACAGCAATAATAACAATAATAAGTAACAATTTCAGTAGCCTGCTGGCCAATTCAGTCCTTAGTTGTAGAAGTGGAAGCTCCTCATTCTCTTATTGTGCGTGTTGATGAATAGATGACTGTGATGAGACCTTTCTGCAGATATCCTTTTCGCTTTTTATGTCGGATAACAGTTTTTGAGTGATCGTGCCTCAGCCATAATTGCCATGTAAGTGCTCTTAAAAAGATTCAACCATTTATTCTGTTGCGAGAAGAACCTTAATGGACTTCAGAACTATGAAGCAGTCAGTGTGTGACATTTTCTCTTTAATAACATTTTTCTGTTCTTAAATGCCTCGGCCTAACAGAGAAAGAGGCTGAATCACACGCTCAGTGTATTCAGATGGATGATGGATGTTTTGTGTTAGTATTCTTGTTATTATTATTTTTTTTTCAAAACTATGGATTTCATATGGAGTGTTTACATGTATGTCCTCATGTTGCCTTCATGCCTTCACGCAAACCTGTCTTGCATAATCATTTTCTTAATGCAAAACACAATATACAGAGATGCTGAGACCACCAGACAGCACAGCATAAAAAAGAAAACAGGCCCCTATCTTTACTTACTTACTCACTTACTTACTTACTTATGTATTTATTATTTATTCATTCATTTATTCATTCATTCATCTTCTAAGTTGCTTATCCTCTTGGGTCGTACTGGGAGGGACTGCTGGAGCCTATCCCAGCGTTCATTGGGCGGAAGGCAGGAAACACACTGGACAGGTGGCGAGTCCATCGTAGGGCAGTATTTCTTCTTCTTCTTCTTATTATTATTATTATTATTATTATTACTATTATTATTACTATTATTATTACAATCATTATTATGTTCACAATCACTTTAAGCCATTCCCTGTATTGCACAGCATAGCCATTAGTATGTGAAGGTGAAGCCTCCTTCAAGGAATAAGGTCTGTTTCTGCATCTGCAGGACTCAGCAGCCACACAGCATCACCAATCTTCTCAGTGGCCTTTGGACAAGAGCTAACTGCTTGACTGTTGTGGAACTTTGTGAGCATCTGACTGGTCACCACTTTAGAGCACCCCCTGTTGTCCAGTGTGTGGCCCTGGGTCGCCCCTGCTGCCAGTTGCGTTTTTCCCTGGCTCTCACAGCCTCAGTTGGCACATGGCACAGCTCATGTTTGTTTGGGTGGGGGTCTGCAGGTTCTCAGATGTAGCAGACCATAGTCACCTTAACAAGAAATTGTAGTCTGAGCTCTTTATTGAGACAATAGTGACAAAATACCAGACAGCATTAGAGCCCCTTTGTTTTGAGTGCTGTATACCTCTGGTTCCTGCATTACAAATAAATTACAGTTAAAGGCGTCATTTTGTGTCGTATGGACTTTAATGGTCAGGTTTTATAAAGGGTGAGAGGCTGTTTCTGTTCTCTTTAACTGTAACTTGCTTCTGCTTCTGTTAGGCCCCGCGGCACCAGCATTTTTGCTAGTGTGGGTAATGATGCATATAGCCTAGGGTGTAATTTTATTTCCAATTTCCTTTGCTGTAGTTTTGTCCTAAATGATGTTACGCTAGCAGTGTGTTGCGGATGACTGTGTCTTCCTAATGGCTTTGTGGGTAATGAGTGCTGAAATAGGCTTGGTGCTATGAGTACGGATCTAAGCCATCTACCGTTCAGTCTCTTTTTTGGACTTTTTGGTTTTCCATCAGGCCGTAGATAGAGGCATTTACATTTGAACCTCATTTGCCCCCCGTAACAGTTTTTTGTGACAGATTGACTTAAATATATTCTGGAAAAGAACTGATTCACTCTCAGGCAGGATTTGGAAGACAGTCTTTGCCAACACTTCGCAAGCTTTTGTTTTGACATTGAGAAGCAATATATCACTTTCAATTAGAAAGTATTGGGGGTTTGTAGCACTTCTTAATGGTCCCTCATATTTCACACTGATTGTCGTTGCCCATAGTGACAGGGCAGCCAATAGCTGGCAGATACACCTGGAGTGGGAAATTATAAGGCAGCAGGAGGGTATTTGGGGTGGGGGGGTAGAGGTAAGAGTGCTGCTTGTTCCTGCCTGGCTGACCATGTCCAGCGACGGGCCTCGTACCCCTGGGGAGTGAATTATTACCTGTCAGATGTGGAGCCTCCACATCATCCATAACCTAGGCCTGACACAGGGGCAGCCAGCTCTAGCGCTGCAGCACAAGCAGTGGGCCTTGGCCTTCAAACCTGGCCTCCCCTCTCTGGGTGGGGAAAACAGATTAACCTGCTGCTACAGCCAATGCAAGTGGCTTAGGAAAACAGCCTTGTCTGCTAGGCTGTCCCTGATGTGTTTAGGATTCTTGCATAAATATGCATGTGCACACCCACAGATCTTTCAGAGCTAATGAGGTCTCAGTGTTTTGCTGTTTGTTTTTGGTGGAATATGGAATTTAGGATCATACTGACGTAACAGCTGTCCCAATTCCTAGTAATCGGCTCTGGAACCTGAGCCATTGGTGAAGTTGAAAATTAATTGTTTATCACATAACTGACACCAATTTGCCATTTTGCATTCATTTCTTACCCTGCCCGGAAACATGGCTGATGTAACGCTAATTGATTTCAACATCAGTACAGTAAACCTTGGCTGGTGTTTGTCTGACTGGAGAGTGAAGAAAAACAACATGATGATAAACATTTAAGAGGGGAAAAAACAAAAATTGTGAGTTCAAAGGAAGGGTAATGTTAGAGAGAACGAGAGTATGTCCTGGACTTCAGTTTGGACAAGTTACAGACCTCAACCCTCATTTCCATCTTGCTCTTGGATGCAATGACTGGCTTCCAGTGGCTTTTAAATCCATTTCTCAGAAGCTTTAACCCGTTGTCAGACATGGTGCGCAGCGATCCTGGCCAAACCGTGATGGCCGCAGATGGACGGTTGCCGCGTGGCCCGCTGTTAATGCAGTACAGAGGAAAAGGCAACAACTTAACTAAGATTAAACGTAGGTAAAGGCACAAAGCAGGCACATCTCACTCAGCATGGTGCTTATAAATGTCCATGATTGTTAAGCACTTTCTTTTAATTTCTTACTTATTGTATCAGAGGGTAAATGAAATGCCAGTGTGCCAGCAGTAGGGCTGAGCAATTTGGATGCTCAAATTGCAATAAATGAAGGTTCAGGCCTGTTTTTGGCCAAGAAAACAAGCATATCTGTTTTTTTTCTAGGCTAAGGCTGGAAAGTTGTGGTTGTACACAGCCAATGACTTTGGCTTTTGGTTGCTTCTGACTGGTTTAACTGGTCTACAGGCAAATTTATTAGGTATATTTCCCCTCTTAAAACTTGTTAATGTTGTTGATCATGTAGTCCATTATGAAAAATTGCAACTCTTGTGATTTGCAAATTACACTCTTTTAAATTGCAATTTTGATATAAAACCAGTGGATCTTTCAGCTCTAGTCAGCAGCCAGGACTATACTTGTGCACTTTTTTTAGGAAGTAGTTCTTGTTTTGCCAATTTTAGTCTTCTTTCTGAAAAGCTCAAAGCAGTTTTGTGCTAGAATGCACACAGTGACACACACATACACACACATTCAGTGATTGGCATGACAGGAAGAATGAGCTGCTTACCCAACTGTCATCTTTAAGAATGTTTGGATAGCTGAGTCGTGAGAACTAAATCACATCGAGCTGGAACCAGCAGGCAGGCTAAGTCACAGAGGCATGGCTTCATTTTTTTTTTTCCCGGCTCCTCTTCACACCAGATTACGGAGTGATGACTAACTCCGTTTCATTGCACTTCGACATTCAGCTGCATCTCCTGCTCCCTGCTTCCACCGCACAAGCAGCCTTTTGTGCCTCTCCCATTGGTATGCCAGCATTACGGGCTAAATCCGCTAGCTATGGGCGAGCGTGTCCAGAACGAGCTCTATCCCTGACTAATGCTCGCTGCAGTCCTGTTT